CATATGGTGCCCTTCGAGTACTTGAATAGAAACTGTTATTGTAGGCAAATTCGTCTAACGATAAGTATGTATCCCAATTAGCACCAAAATCCAATAGGCAAGCACGTAACATATCCTCCAATGTCTAAATCATTTGTTCCATCTGCCCATCTGTTTGGGGATGGTAGGCTGTGCTAAATCTAAGAGTAGTGTCTATTTCTTTCTATAAGGACCTCCAAAACTTAGAAGTAAATCTTGGGTCTCAGTCCGACACAATACTGTTTGGGACACCATGCAGCCTAACAACCTCCTTGATGTAAAGTCTCGTTAACTTTTCGGGTGAATCTTTAACATTCATAGAGAGGAAGTGCGTGGACTTGGTCAGACGATCTACTATAACCCATATCGCATCATGTTTAGCTGCTTTCATCCGTAATCCTACTATGAAATCCATAGATACGCTATCCCATTTCTACTCAGGGATATCTAGGGGTTGCAACTCTCCTGCAGGCTTCTGATGTTCTATCTTTACTTTCTGGCAAGTGAGAGACTTTGCCACATACTCTGTAATATCCTTCTTTATTCCAGGCCACCAGAAAAGCTCTCTAACATCATGATACATCTTTGTCATTCCTGGATGAAGAGTATATTTGCTCTTATGGGCTTCTGCTAGTATCTTTTCCCTAAGGTCGGCTACTTGGGGAACGTAGGTTCTTCCTTTAAACTTTAATATCTCCTCCTCTGAAATTTCAAAGTTCTTAGTTTCACCTCTAGACAATTTTCCTTTGAGAATTTCTACAAGCCAATCCTGCGACTGTGCTTAGTAGAGCTGTAAACTAGGTTCTACCTCCATTTCCTTCTACTAATTGCATTTGATATAGAGGACCCCAATCTTTGAAATCCTCTACCAGCTTCTGCTCCTTAATCATTAGTGATGCTACCTACATTGCCTTTCTGCTCAAGGCATCTGTAACCACGTTCACTTTGCCTGGATGGTACTTAATCTGGAAATTGTAGTCTTTAAGAAAGTCTATCCGTCTTCATTGTCTCATATTCAACTCCTTTTGATCATGGAGGTACTTGAGGCTCTTGTGGTCGCAGAACAATTCTATTATTGCTCCGTACAAATAATGTCTCCATATCTTCAATGCATAAACTATCGCTGCTAATTCTAGGTCATGGGTTGGGTAATTCTCCTCATGAGATTTCAACTAGAGCCGGGAAAACGGGCCGAGCCCGTCGGGCCAGCCCGTTTAAGCCCATTTAAGTCGAGGGCCGGGCTTGTATTTTGGAGCCTTGAAAGGGAAGTCGGGCTTAAAAGGGCCAGCCTTGTAGGGCCGAAAAATAAACGGGCCGGCCCTGTAGGGCCGCGGGCTGGCCCGTTTAGGCCCGCCAATTTTTTTTTTTTTTAAATTTCTGTCTTTTTTTTCTTAACTTAAAAAAGAAAATCCTAACATTTTAAACATATCATACTCTTAGTTTTACTTATCTTGGCAACTCACATAGATAGCATTCACAAAAAGAAAAAAAGAATCACTATAGTTGTGCGAAAAATAACCAAAAAAATATGAGGTCACGACAAAAAGAAAAAGTTAGAGACTCCAGTAAAGTCTCGAAGGCCCAGAGAGAGAAAAGAGACTAGATATAGACCAAAGGTTAAGTTATAAACCTCAAAAAGAGGATTGTATGAAGTTAAGTTTAAGCAGGGACTAAAGCGTAAATTCTGAAAGTAATGACCAACAAGAGTAAAAATGGAAGAGTATACAAAGAATTCCAAGAAAATCCTAGAAAATGGGAAATAATATTCTAAGGCTCTTCTGTGAATAGAAAAGATGAAAATACCCCTGAGGCAGCTTAAATGGAATTTATGAGGTTATGGCCGGTAAAAAGTATATCATTTGAGGTAATTATTTAAAATAGCAAGAAACCTCAAAAATATATACAAAAATAAGGTTAAATGGTTGAAAGGTTGTACTAATTTATAAAATTAGTCCCGTAACCAAAAGGCCAGTGGAGTGGCTTTAATAAATTAAAGAGCCGGTTTTGCTGATAAAATGGGATTTTGGTAAATGAATTTTTATGCAAGGCTTAAAGGAAGTGTTATAGCTGAAAAAAATTCATAGATATTCTCTAGAATTAAAGGAAATTTATGGAGTAGACAAAAGAATTTTCTGACCTCTAGAAGCCCATAAAGGAAGCCGGAGAAATGTGGGCCAAGTAAATTCGGAGGAATTAAGTTTGATCCAATGGCTAGGATTTAATCTCCCTTCTCCTCCACCACTTTCATGACACTTGGCATCTTCTAGAATGATGAGGTAAGCATGATGCAAGAAGATGATGCAAGGATGATGTAAAAGTCAACTTGAAGTTCCAAAATTGCCCTTACCCTTTCTATTAGCCACCAAGGGTATTTTGGTCCATTCAAGCCAAATTTTTGGCTATAAATAGGCATTCCCTCCCCTTCATTTTCGGCCAAGCAAGGATCTATAAGGGAAACTCTGCCACTCTTACATCTAGAGAGAGAAAGAGCTATTTCTAGTGAGAGAAAGTCCACCTAAGTTCGAGCTTCAAGATCAAGGTATGTGGTGGCTGTAGCATCTGATTTGATGCCTATTTCAAATTAGTTACTGTTCATATCTGATTCTGATATTTTGTATGCTTAAAGTAGACTCTGTGAGATTTAAATCCACGGGTAGAACACTTCATTTGGATATGTGTACGATTTATTGTGATTTTTCAAAGTTAGGGTTCGAAATCTGGAAACAGTGTTGAACTTTTGGAAGAGTTTTGAGTTCCGTATAATTCTGGTATTGTTCAGAGTATAATTGGTTCCTAAAACTATTTTTCCTTTAAAGCTAACTTAAGGATATTTCATTGAGACTTGGAACCACTCAGTTTCTATTTTTCTAGAATTAATTATGAATTTTCAAAATTGAGTAAAACTTCTGGAGTTTTTGCGTGAACAGTACCCGCGAACCAAAATTTTCAGATTTGTTATTCTTGAATCTAAGGCCATCTAAAGTAGTCCTAATTGATAAGAAATGGATCATAAGGATGGGAAATGATGAGATTTATGTTAGAAAAGCTAGAAAGAAAACCCTAAGACTAAGAGAAAGGGTTGAGGTTCAAGAGAGCTAGTCTTGAACTTTATGTAATCTAGTAGTCCTAACGGATTGTATGATCATCATAGTTATATTTAGGACCTTTGGAACATCCAAGAGGATGTTTGGTGATGTTGACCGAATGCCTACATGGTTGGAAAGTCAAGGGAGTCAAAGGAAAAGTAAGAGGAAAGCTTGAGATGCAAGGTAGTGAACTTACCTATTGTCATTGCTTAATGTTGTATCCTTGTGTGTTGCCGTGTACATGTTATTGCGACATGTTTTAGCTACTTTAATTGCTATTCATGATTAGTAAATTATGTTTCCATGGCTATGCATCAAGAAGTTAGCTTTGAGCATGCTAATATGTCACTAATTAACAAGAGAATAAACAAGTTACGTGTAGTGCATTAGCATCCATCTAGCATGATTAATGTGGTATTGTTTGCTACTGAGATTCCCCCAAATCTCACCCCTCCCTAACCAACCATATAGGTCAATCATCAATGGGCAATAATGGCATGAGAAGCAAGGAGAAGAAAGTGGAGAATTATTGATGTAAATGAATGATATTATTATTCATTGTGTAATTCTCTTATTATGTAATTTATGTTATGGATGCATATGGTGCCATGTATTTAATTATAATACTTATGGCATGTATAGAAATGTATGGGCATGAATGGGAAAGAGAAATCCCATGTTATGTATGCCAAAGAAATAAAAAAGAATTAAAGTAAAGAGATGTTAAGGGATAAAACGCAGGTCCTGGAGCAGTGAGCCTGTAACTCTAGTTTAAAATGAGAGGTAGATAATCTCAATTGGACGTGTACACAAGGAGATACGAATTTCCAAAGTTGAGGCACAGAATCTGGAAGTTCCAGATTTTACGAATTGAATAGTAATATTTATTGATTAAACTGTACGAATTGGATAAAGATAAGTTCAATTGGATATTTTTCCCTTAAAGAGCATCGAAATAGCTTTTAGTAGAATTTTATATCACCTCAATACAATTTGTATGGAATTAGTTATGAATTTTTGAAGTTGGACCTGTAATCTGAAAATTTAACAGTGAATAGTAACCTGAGTAGTTATGTTAAAATTTTAAATCCGCGGGTTTGTGTTATGATCTGCTTGAACCATAACGCTTACGAATGCGTGCTTTGAGGGGTTAAAGGTAGGATGTTTCACGCTTGGTCTAATAAAACCTTTCTCAAGTAATTCCTCTCTCTGCCTTTTAAGTTCTGCCATTTCATTTGGAGCCATTCTATAAGGGGCCTTGTAAATTGGTCTTGCTCCAGGTATGATGTCAATCGTGAATTCTATTTTTCTGTTTGGGGGTAGTCCTATGACCTCTGTCGGAAACACTTCTGCAAACTCCTTAACAACTGGGATTTCTTCTATCCCTTCTTGTACCTCTACTTGCATCGAGAAGAAACTGAGAAATCCTTGACAACCTTTCCGTAGGCATTTGCTCGCTTAGGCTTCCGTTAAGAAATTCAATCTAACCTCCGGATTCAACTCTAAATCTCTTGAGGGTAAGATTAGGGTTTTGTTCTTACAGTCCATTAGGATATTGTGGGATGATAACCAATTTAGTCTAATCATCACATCAATTTCATGGAAGGGCATACATATTAAGTCTATAATAGTACAGCAGTGCTCATAACAAACTATGCAGTTCAAGCACACATCAGATGTAATTACCCTATTCTGTGTTGGTATGGACACATGTATATCATACGGTAATGTATTCATAATCAAGCCAAGTCTCTTAACACAGGCATAGGAGATGAAAGAATGACTAGCACTTGAATCAAACATTGCAATCACTAGGGAGTTGTTAATCATGATCATACCTCGGATCATCTCCTGGGGCTTCTGGGCCTCTTCCCCTGTGAGGGCAAACACTCAACCTTAGGTGTGTGGGCATGCCTTTTCAGTGTTCTGTGGGCATTCTCTCGAGAAATGTCCCAGTTTGCCGCAAGTGTAGCAAACGTTCTGCCCAACCATGCATAGTCTATCACCATGACTCTTGCCACACTTCGTACACTCCTTGCCCTTCAGTGGCTTACCGCCTTTCTTATTCTTGTGATTGTTCCATGGTTGCTTCCTCTTCTTACTTGCATTAGATGAGATGCCACCCTGGCCTCCCTGACCTCCCTTCTCTTCTCTGGGAGTAGTCTTGACCATCAGATGATGGTTTAAGCTGCTTTTCGTGATTTGGCAAGCCTCGACCGCCTTATTGAACTACTTGAATTATTTGGGAGCAATCATCTCCCTTAAGGACTACCTTAGTCCTTGAATCATCTTCTCTGTCGTCCACCTCTCGTTATCTCGGTAGCAGAGATAACTTAAGTAATTAGAGAGACGGATGAACTTAGCCAAATACTCATCAAATGGCTCGTCATCTCTCTGCTTCAGGGTCAGAAATTCTACTTCCCATTCATCTCAGACGGATCTTGGAAAATACTTTCATAGAACTGCTCCAGGAACACTTCCCATGTTACCCTCATGTTCCGAGCACCCAGAAGAATTTCAGTATTTTCCACTAGCGGTTGGCATCTTTCTCTAGCTTATATATCGCCATCTAGGCTTTTCGCTCTGATGAGCAGTCTAATACTTTGAAGATCTTCTCTAGACGGTTAATCCAATCTTTCGCCACTTGAATATTAAACATTCCATCAAATGACGGCGGGTTGTGTTTACAAAAGCGAGTTATCCACTGTTGGAAGTTGTCAGGGTCTGCTGCTGTTCTGATGCTTGTACTGCAGAGACTTCTTCTTCTGGCTGCCTCTTGTCGAGGTTAGCCATTACCGCTGTTACTGCTACGGCTATCACTACATCCCTCTCTTGTTCCTGGCGAGCTTGTGCCGTCCTCATCTCCTCGATGGTCTTCTGCTGCTGCTCGAGACATTCCAAAATTATTTGCAATGGATTGGGAGGGATCCTTACATCTTGAACTGGGGGTCTCTCTGGCGAAGGGTTTCGTTGGGTTCTAACCATCGTGTTTAACTAACCGGATAGCATAATAAGGAACAAGAAGTAAATATCATGCTTGGATTTCATTTAACAAGAGAAGCATACATCATTCAACATTTAAGCATCAGGCATCAACAATGTAGTTCAAAGCATACATACACCAAGCACTGCTAGCCTAACCTACTATGGTTAGCTGCACCAAAATACATCCTATGTTAGTAATAGGAGGGTCTAGTCGTCTACAGAAAGTGAACAATAACAAAGCCCTCGAGGCTTTGGATCCAGTCCTCCACATCATCTCCAAGTATGTAGTTCAGGCAGATGATCTCATGGGTCCAAAATGGAGTGTTGGGTAGGGTCTCTACTATCTCACATAACCAATCAAAAGGTTCCAGGTAAGGGTTGCCTGGTCCACGGGCTTGGTACAACTCTCTCATGCCCTGGAGGTAGTCTAGGTGTACTCTCAGGTCTGTGTCCACATCCCTCCTGATGTGACGCCCTAGGAACCTCAGCCGGTTACTCAGCTGACCCATACTACGGATCTTATGACTAGGCAGAGTAGGGGCAGGTACGACTGGTACTGTAGGTGCTACAGGTGTTCAGGAGCTGGGGGTATAACTGGTCCAATACTAGGTCCGGGAATGTTGCATGGATGTACAATAGGAGTGGCAGGCTGTCTGATGGACTAATGTAAAGGCCTAGCTCTAATGGTTCTTAGTATAGGCCAATTACAGGATCTATCAGGTCACCGAGTCCGGGAAGGTACAACAACTGTTCTGCAGTGATCCCTAGCAGCTCAGGATAGCACTTAGCACAGGCATTTGAGCTCATTGATGAATGGCCTAGGCTGGCATCTCCCATAGTCCATTCCACCAGATCTTCTTCTTCAGTGAGATCAATAACGTTAAGATCCCAATCATTGACTGATGGCTCAAATCTAGGGTCTCAATCCATGGTGTTTTCCATCCTGATTCCTGTAAAGATGTGTCAGTTCTTCCTATCTAACCCTAAAATCTAATGAATAACTTAAGCAGAGTGTTCTATCTTATGCCAGAACCTCCGCTCTAATACCAAAATGTTACACCTTACTATCGTATCATCTTAGGGTTCAATTAAAACCATCTTAGACCACATTGGATGGTCTTGGGCTCAATTCTATCCCAAAAACGCTCGTTTTCAGATTTTCACTATTCATCAGGTAAAAATCCAGTTTTCTGGCCCAACTTCAAAAATTCATAACTTAATCTAGAAAAACCTTTTTCTAGATTCTGAACTTTAACTTTGAAAAATCATTAAAATCGTGTAGCTGGCCATTTTTAACGTGTTACCTATCAAAATGAAGCTCAGAACGTGGTCTACAAACATGCCAAATTTTGTAATTAAATTCATTCAGGAACTTAATCAAAACGTCATGTAAAGGTAACGGTGTCAGTGAATTTACAGCACTGCCTAACATAATATTACATAACCCAAATTTCCACGAATTTTTATGGTATGATACCATACTTTTAACCCTCAATCTACATATGGTATGATACCATACTTTTAACCCTCAATCTGTAGCTTGCCCTTAGATGTTTCAGGTCCTAAAATGTTAGATTGTATTTGGGGAATGAGATTTCATTGAAATCCCAATAGCAAATTAACCAACTATATCATCAACAAGTATCATTAACATGCATAATTATATTAATTATTATTGGTGAACTAGCATGCTTATCATTTGGCAAACTCAATCATACAAAGGCTAAAGCAAGAAAGTACAAAGTGCAGCCACATTACAATCAAGAAAGTTCATCCACATAATAGCAATTAATCATGCAATAATCAATAATGCCAAGTCCATGTTAGTAGTTAGGTTCAACTTGCTCCCTTGCTCCAAAAGCTTGAGTTTTCTTTGTTTCTCTTCTTCTCCTTCATAAATATCAAACCCTAGCATGGCAATCCATCAGAAAAGGGCAGCAAAAGTCATTAACCAAACCAAGTAAAAGCAAGAACACAACTTAATATGACTCTTGCTCCTTAAAGCTTCCACCTTTGTTCTTTATTTTTGAACTTGTTTCCTTTTAACCTTAAACATTGCTTCTTAACTTGTTCCTATATGGTTTTTCATGTGGATTCCAAATATATGCTTAGATTTAGGAAAATAAAACTTCTCCTTTTAGTTGCTCTTGACCGAACCAAGATGGTTCTTTAACCCAAAATTACAACTTTGGTTTTAATGCTTCCAACACTTGCTCCTTTTGGTTTACCCTACACCATTTTTCATTTTGAGCATCGTGGAAGCCTTAAAACATTGAAAAGCATAGCCTAAGGTCCATTTACTACCTTGGTTGAAATGGTCCATATGGTACACAACCAAGAAAACACTTCAAAAATCAACTCACAACCACTTGCAACTACGAGGATCTAACATGTTTTGAAGTGTTCTAGCAAGTATGATCAACAAAACTTCTTTCCCCACCTAAGAAACATTTCATCCAACACCCAAAGAAGAGAAGAAACAAAAATTTTCAACCATACAAAGAAAGAAAACAAGGCAAGGATCCATTTAGAACCTAGAACTAACCTTGAATCCTTGGTTGTATGATCAAGTTGGTAGCTTTTCCCTTGATCTCCCTTTGAACTCCCTCTTTTCTCTCTTGGTTCCGTCTTGCACAAAATAACATCTGAATATTAGGGGAGATGAGCTTGTTTAATGAGCCAAAATATCCCAACCACCATCATAAATGAAATTCCAAGTGTCATTACCCTCTTTAATCTTACATTCTCTTTCATAATTAACTAAATCCAAATGAAATTAATTACCAAACGTCAAAATCCTCTCTATTTGAGGAATGACACTTGGCAAGTTCAAATCCTCTCCATTAGGGGCTTGACACATGGCTAATTGTGAACCATTTGAATTGCAAGACTCTAGTCTTGCTTTACCGGTGCACTTCGACTCTAAGTTTAACTTCGTTTCTATAATTACAGTATTTTGGCCTCTGTAATTATTTTCTATCAGATCCCTAATTTATTCTCCTTATTTTTATCTTCCCAACTTGCCCTCTTTGTCTCAAAATTAATTTCCCAATAATTAAATAAAAAGAAAAACTAATTTCTTTTTCTTTAGGGTTTTTCCACTTTCCAAAGGTATTAGGAAAATCTTGGATACTTGAGGGTCTTCATTTAATTCCATAATCTCTTATAATTCCTTGGGATATCATAGAAATTTTCTTAGGATTTTATTCCCTTTAAAAATATTTATTTGGAATTTTCCAAATAAAATCCCTTAAATTGGCTTAAATCACCCTTAAATTCTTTTGTAATTTCTCTAAGGGTAATTTGGTCATAAAACTAATTTTATAATCTCATATAATTCTCAAAGGATATTATCCTTTTTTTTCCTTAATTTTCTGAGGCTTGGAAGTATTATTCTATAATTATATCTGACCAATTTTCCTTAATTAGTCAAATTTCCATAATTGGCTTGGAAAATCATAATAATTATTTTCCATGAAAATTCTTCTAATTCTCCTTATCATTTTTGGCCCTTAATTATTTAGAATATTTCTTATTTCTAATTGCCATAATACTGGATGTGACATGCGCCACCTCAGCTTTCTGTTTCTCAGTATTGCTCTCAGTCTGTTCAAGTCACGACCTAGAATTTCTCAGGTCGCAACCTCATTTTCTTTTCCTTTCATGGTTGCTCTCTATGATATCATGTCGTGACCTGGATACTTCAAGTCACGACCTGAGCTGGTTTTGCACTAAAAGTATTTTCTGAGTGTCCAGACTTGCTCTTTTGCATAGCTTTGCTTTTTGCACATACTTTGAGAATGTATAGCACTTCATACACCTCAAACTCACTGAGCATTATTCGAAATCATTGAGTTTGCCTCAGTTTTGACATATACACTTGGTAAGTATCAAAGTTTTGACATTACTTTCTCGTTCACTCTATTTGTGCTTGATTTTGAGTAACTGTGCATGCCTAGAGCATGTAGAGGTAAGAGAGGTAGACACATGGGATCCCGTAGCCCACTTCTTTTACAAGGCCAATCCCATTTATCTAGTGAGAGTGAGGAAGTAGAAGAGGAAATCATGGCCGAAATACCTCTAAATGGTGGAAATAGGAATGGTAATCATAATATTAGTGGTAATGAGGGACAGGGAGAGAATAATGGCTAGAATAGGATCCCTAGACAACCTAGAGGTAGAACTAT